CACTAGATCCCCCCTCAGCCTTCTCTTGTGGAGGCTGAACAGGTTCAGGTCCCTTAGCCTCTCCTCGTAGGGCCTGCCCTGCTGACCCCTGATCATGTGGGTGGCCCTTCTCTGGACCTTCTCCATGCTGTCCACATCCCTCCTGAAGTGTGGCGCCCAGAACTGGACGCAGTACTCCAACTGCAGCCTGACCAGTGTCGCATAGAGGGGGAGAATCACCTGCTTGGACCTGCTTGAGATGCATCTGTGGATGCATGACAAGGTATGGTTGGCCTTCCTGACCACATCCCCACACTGTCAGCCCATGTTCATTTTGGCCTCAATAATGACGCCAAGATCCTTCTCTGCCTCTGCACTGACGAGAAGGGAGTTTCCCAGCCTGTAGGTATGCTGCTGGTTCTTCCTCCCCAGGTGCAGTATCCTGTACTTGTCAGTGTTGAAACCCATCCTGTTCTCATCCGCCCGCCCGTATAGCCTGCCCAGATCTGATTGCAGCCTATTCCTTCCTTCTAGTGTTCCCACTTCTCCCCACATCTTAGTGTCATCTGCAAATTTGAACAGGGTGCATTTTACCCCGTTGACCAAGTCGCTGATGAAGATGTTGAACAGTGCGGGCCCGAGGATTGAGCCCTGGGGAAGCCCACTGCCCACATCCCTCCAGGTCAAATAAGACCTGTCCACCACCACCCTCTGGGTGCGGCCCTCTAGCCAGTTAGTGACCCATCTGACTGTGTAGGCATTGACACCACAGTCTCCTAGTTTTCTAATAAGAATGGAGTGAGAGACAGTGATGAAGGCCTTCCTAAAGTCCAGAAAGACTGTATCCACCACGATACCTGCATCCAGGGATTTGGTGACCTGATCAGAGAAGGCCACCAGGTTGGTCTGACAGGACCTGCCTCTAATGAACCCATGTTGGTTGCTCCCAAGCACAGTCTCCCCTGCTAGCCCCTCGTGGACATGCGCCAGGATAATTTTCTCAAAAAGCTTCCTCAGGACTGAGGTAAGACTAAGGCCTATAGTTTCCTGGGTCCTCCTTCCTCGCTTTTTTTGAAAATGGGAACCACATTGGCCCTTTTCCAGTCCTCTGGCACATTGCCAGAGCATCATGAGTGCTCGTAAAGCCGTGCCAGAGGTCCTGCAATAACTTCTGCTAGTTGCCCAAGCACTCTGGGGTGGAGATTGTGTGGTTAAGAATCACTATTCTATACTGCAGCTTTTAGTCATGACTTCCCTTAAAAAAAAAAAAAAAAAGGAAAAACGAATGCAACTTTAAAACAGCAACTTCTTCATCCTCACTGATGGGTTAATCCAGCCAGCCCTCTTTGGTAGCTATCATGATTGGCACCTTTAGTGCTCAAGCTCACAGAAAATGAGAGGCAGCACATTCAAAGTTTGCCTGGTGCCAAACCTCTACTCAAGAAGCTCCCTGTATATCAATGGTAAGTCACAGTCTGGGGATACACATTTCTCTACCCTTAGGCTAAGGAAAGGGAGTCTCAAGACTCCCCACTAGTAACTTCAGAAATCAGCAGTATGTAAGCAAGGGAACCACGGCTGCTCCCTGCTACCTAATATTTCCAAGTGCCCTTCTCAAACCCCATCAAACATAACAGCCTAGTCTCACCACATACGTTAATCCCCAAACTCAAGAGAAAATAGAAATTGACTTCAAGTCAGTTTAACGCATTAGTCAAATGTCTCCTTTTAAACATAACTTTTTCAAAGCGAACAGAGTCTGATATGCCTCAGGACATCCAAAGGACAAGTAATAAAAATGCACACTGCAGTGAAGTGGAGACTGCTAAAAATAGAAATGAACAACGCAATTTCATCTCTCCAAAGTCATCTCCTCATATATGTACTTGCTTCCTATTGTTTTCTATTAAAGATGCAACACAAAAATGCTTGAGAAATGTGGTCTCAAGACAGGCTATGATTTTTCTAATGCAAAATTCAGCCTCAGAAACATGCCATATTGATCACTAGTCTGCACACCCTGTTAAAAGACTGCCACTTGACAGCTGGGGAATCCCCATACCTTGCAATACAAGAAGGGAGTCCCTCATTACTAGGGATCCTAGTTTTCTCTGATAAAAATTCCAAATTTACTGATTAAAACCCCCCAAATCCACATTTTTACACTATTAAAATCAAGCACCACTCTCTTCTTTTCTCTCTCTCTCTCTAGGTATGTTGAACACAATGTTTTACTGATATATTTACAATTTTAAAGCAGGTTGGAAACAGTGGCTAAAATGGGTTCCAGGCAATGAGTAAAGAAACTGTTTCCTTCTTGCTGTTTCTAGGATTTTTTAATCTCTTTTGTAAGCAGAAAAGACTACATATAAATCATCTATCCATAGCCAATTTCTCCTAAAGGAAAACTTAACACTCCAAATTTGACTAGTTACTCAAGTCAAAATTAACAGAAACAGTAATAATGGTACTTATCCACCCTTATAAAAGACTCTCCTGGGAATGCGATTTCCAAGCCAATCAGAGAGTAAAAAAACATGAACTGTTAGGCAGTCTCCTATGTTCTCTTCTCAAGGGCCAACATGAGCCTTTCCTAAGGTCTCATTCCTATACATGTAAATAATTAGCATGCATAAAGTTAAGCACATGCCTAAGAACTTGCAGAAAAGTCTTTATGCTCTTCTCTGGGATGAAGTTTAAAACGTTAAATTTGAAAAATCCAATGTGCTTGTCATATAAGCTGCTTATTCTTTTAATTTTGTTTCAGCTTGGATGATTTATGTCAATTGTCAGTACAGTTAGGTTAGGTTTTTAGTACAGCAAATCTTTATGCTGAATAATAGTAATTGCATCAGTTCCTAATAATACTACACACAGCCA